AATCTGTCGTATACGGTGTTGTTATCTTGTTCTCTTTCACTCGCTGAAATTCACATCCTCTGAATGGGGTCACGATTTACAGATACTGCAGCCTGGAAAGGGGCCCAAGTTAATGCTGCTCGTGTTGTGGGCCAGAGGGAGTCATGTGTTTTGGGCAGTCCGGAGACTCCAAGATGATCCCCCCTCTCTTCTCCTCAAAAGAGGAACAGAACGACAACGAATCAATGTTATGGAGCCTCAGGGGTAACGATCGCCCGTGCTTTGCTGATCTCTTTCCAGGCTCGGGCATTCCCTCACTCGATCAATCGCAGACCACGAAAACTGTAGATGCGGATTGCCCGGTGGCAAAAAGCAAGCATCAAAACAGATCAACAAGTGATTCTGCACCTCTTTTACCCAGAGGGTATCTGCCTAGTTCTAGTCGGTGGTCGGGTTTAGTGTCTCCTCGCACAAGTGGAACAGGAGCATGGCAACGACGATCTACTCGCCTACAAGGCTCGTTCCCGCCCACAGATCTGACTTGTCGGGCTTGGCTCGAGCCCTTTTGGCAGCTCTCACACCGCGCGGCTCGCATGTTGATTTTCAGAATGTGACCCTTTCATCAATTGATGAGTTTCGGTTCTGGTGAATGTTGCCACGTAAACCTTGCCTAGCATTACTTGCGAAACATCCCAAGAATCCACGATATGTCAAGAATCAGCAACGGGGCATGACGTCAAGAAGTTCAACAGTCTGGGGGCGGTCCACTTCTGGAGGCGGAGACTCCCCCTCCAGCTTTGATCGAATTGTTCAGAAGTCGATCCCGCAAGGTTTCGAGGCGGTGACAAGTCGGAGTCCATGGGCCGTGAACGTGAATCGGGATCTCATGTAGATCATGATGCGTTTTCGCCAAAAGCTGAAGTCGCATCACATGTGTGGTTACCCAAACCCTAATCCGAATCTTTACAGCACAACTGTAGATCGAAATTGAGCATTGTGGTACGGATACCTGTATCACATGATTATCGCTGATCTGGGGTAGATCCCCAGCCTTGGCGGCTGCGAAAGTCGAGTATCTATCGAGGTTGTGCAAATTCGTTGGAGTGAGTCTGTGAAGCATGAAGCCGGATATTGTCGTCAATTTAGATAGCAATTTGGAATGAAATATCATGTCTTCTCTCATATCTTCTAGTTCGCAGAGACAGAGTCGAGTTGTGACAAACGTGAGTAGTTAGTCGGCTTGATGATTGGATGAGGTTGAGCAGAGACAAGTTGGGAAGTTCCTGTGATCCTTGCGAGCAATGCGGCTCAATCAGTTCTCGGGCAATCTCGCTAGTATCGAAGTATTGGACATGCCCAGAGAAGCTCCTGGTCCCATAGAACGATCTATGGACGAATGGAAAGTAATGCAGATGAGTGTTTACGCAGGGGTCGCTGCTCTCAATGTCATCTGAGGAGATGGGATAAGTCGAACACGTACTTCTTCCAAGCGATCTATCATTACCAATCCGATCTCCTGTGGTTGGATGGCCACTTGCCATAGGCGCGCTCGATGGAGAGACTACATCTGATGACTTTGGTAAGATGACTTGGTGAGGACAGGATGACGGCGAGGATGGCGGTTGTCCCTGGCATTGGCAGTATTAACGGGGGGGATGTATAGGGCAGTGTGGGCTGGAAGGACATCAATGCCATAGTATCATTCTTCATTCTCTTCCAAAAGCTAAAGGACGCAGTCTACATGTTGCACGGCGTAAGCCATTTTATTCAAATTGGGGAGATGAAGGCTAGGTTCAATATTAACTTTCGCTGCCTCCCATTATTCACTGTTATTCAACGGTTCAGAGTTTCTTTTGCCTGCTCAACTATGGCTAGGCTTTCCAAGGCTTTCTGTTCTATCTGAGTCTGCTGCATCGAGACTGGCCGAATGACCCAGCTTGAAAATTTCAAGTGCTGGATCGCATCCCCATGAGACTCGATACCAGCTTCATCCAGCCGATCCTCGGTAACCTCAAGTCTCAAAATATCATACTGATGCATCACAGCTTCCCAGGCCTGCAGTAAGGATGAGTCCATGGCCAACTTCCACGTGCCTCTCCAAGAAAGGTCAGCTTCCCGCTTGGTACGGTGAGCTTGGTACCTGAACAGCGCTGCCAGGCCCTTTCGTCGGTTTCAAACCTCCATGGTTTCTAGTTGGGGCATCTTCTTAGCTGCTGCCGCTGCTGCCAGAAGTATGGCTCCAATCTCGGTTGAGTCTTCATGAGGCGTGAGTATTTTTGCAGGGAGAGCAAGCGATCTAAGGTTGGACCACGCCCAGTCGAGACGGATCTCGAAGAAGTGGCTGGCGTCTGTGATGTAGGACTCTGAGAGTTGTTCGAGGCTGAGGCTGGTGAGCGCAATCATCTGGCCAATATCTCGCATAGGCTTGCGAAGGGCGTGTGTACCGACATCTGCTCCCCCGAGGGGACTTCGCGTCTTTGCATATTAGCTGGGTATTGTTGGTTGAAGTTCTCCAAGACGACAAGTCGTTTGAGGCTATTGTTGGAACGTCGGATAGAGTCCAAAAGAATTTGGTAACCTAAAGGACGGGGAAATCAATAATTATCAGTTGGATTCCCAGACCTTCTGTTGCTTTGTTGGGATCAGCCTGGAAGGGGCTGGACACATCTGCCTTAGGCCAGATGTATCTGCCTTGTTCAGTATCCTTACCTTTGTTCTTAGAGACCTATTTGGTAGGGCACTTCTGCCCACTCACCCATAGAAGGAATCAAGCCTGTACCTTCTCTCATTTCTTCTTTATCAACACATTCTCACTGAAGTTCGCATATCAAAGCGAGGAACAGCTTTGAAGGTCCACCAGGGGGAGTCGCGCAGTAATAGCTTACCTCTGCCTGTTGACTTCTGCGTCGGATTATCCCATTCCCTCCACGGTTCGTATTGGACTTCCTGAAGTGTGGGAAGCTGGGCAAACATGTGTGTCAGCGACTCTGGTTCCCATCTCCGGCGGCTCTGTTGTCGGAGAAGTAGACTGGTCACGGCTGGGACTGGTGGGAGTTTGTCCCGCCATTCGAGCTCTTCTTGATCACTGTCAACGGCCCCTGCTCCATAATCAGATGGAACAGTTTCCTGAGGCCCCATGGAGGTGAGATGTCGAGAGCCGTGTAATCAGCCATGTTCAGGGTCGTGATAGTCTCGATGTGCCATTGCCTTGTCGACAATATGATTATCTGGTATGTCCGAAGGAGTATCGGGCAAAAAGGTCAGATATAGAAACCAATGTTTCGAGTCGCTGGGCGAGTAGAGACTAATGTCGTGTTTCAAATCGCCGTGAGGTTCCCAGTTGCGGAGAATCGAGAAAAGGTCCTGGAATGACGCGGTGATGGGACACTTGTCTCTGCCGCTGATCGTAGATGCCTCTTCAAACTCATCTGAAACCATTCTTCCGGGCGAAGGAGCGCGCACGTGGTGCAGTCGTACTCGTCTAGTCCCAAGCAGAAACCAGATGTAGCCGACGAGAATTCGGTTTCTTTGACTTATGGTACGAAAATGGGTGGTGAGGTGTGACGGAGTGAGTCTGATTCGAGCAAAGTGGTGTCGCTCCATATCTGTTTGCCATTCTCGAGACACCGTGGCCAAGGGGGCTAGTGGGCAACCATCTTCCATCTCTTCTTGTAAGATAAGAAGTCTTATTTCTCTGGGCAGGTTATCCCATTTTGAATCCCATTGCTTTTCGTCGTCGAGAAGTGCTGAAGACATGGTGTGATGGACCGAGATTTTGGTTATTTTGGCGATGAAGAGATGGAGGTAGGAAGATGAATCTTGAGGTGTGGGCGCATACGATTATTCGGAAATGGAAGGTGATCCAGTCATGACCAGACATGTGGAATATCAGGAACAAGGCCAGATTTTTTTGATAGTGCTTGTGTGGGTTGAATAAGAGACTTCCGATCTGGACACGCTGCGTGCGAGTGGCCATGTAAGGTGAGCCATTGAGCTGTCAATCCTGTTTGAGTTTTCTCATGTCGAGACCATTAATGTTGATCTTCTTCGTCACACTCAGGGTAGCCCGTGTCTGAGGCTGCCGCTGTATCAGCCTGGCTCGCGTTCATGTTAGATCCCAGATTCATTCATGACCAAACCTTTTCATCAGGGTCTCTCGTCATGATGTTCTTGAGTTCGCGCACCTTGCGGATACTCTTCTCCCTACCATCCATAGCGTCGGCGAAAAGCTCGAGGTTGACCGTGATGTCGCCGACAAGATGGCTGGATATAATAGGTGATTATATTACCAATCATTTTCAACCAGTGTTTGTGTCTGTGCCTGGATTATTCGGCCATGAATACAATAAGGATATCGAACTAAGTACGATAAGGATAGAAGCGGAAGTACCTTAGTGGTAATAATAAAGAAAGTAATAATAGTAGTAGCAGGAATAATAATAATAATAGTTAACCTCCTATTAATAAAACCTTCTGAGACCTTTTTATACTCTTTAAAAATAGTTATAGTCATATTGAATTATAAAACTTACGGCTTAGAAGATTTATTTTAGTTTATTTAACAACTTAAGTTTGGAATATAAATAAAGGTTATTAAATCCCTAAATCCTATACCATGGTGCGACTATTATAATAACAAAGCCGCGATAGCTTCACCAAAACAAAAAGCGCAAAAACATACAACACCAGGTATTCGCTGGTCGTCACCGACCCAACTACTAATCCGGCCCTCATTGGCTTATCTATGGGAGAGCGGACGGGATCCCGAGTTTTCCAATGGGTATGGTCGTATGTGACAGTTAGTAGATGTGAATTTGAAAATATTCCACCAACTGCCTGAATGCCATCAATAATATTGGTGATTATGGCTGATCCTCCCTGCCACCCTCGTCGAGATTGTCGAGAATTTGTTACGGTTTCTAGAGATCTGAAATTTGTGGGTGCCAGGATCCACAACCGGCCCAGGCCTTCGGTGTTGATGGCGGAGCTGACCTTCTCCAAACTTCTTCCAGATGAGAGACTCATGGGAACTGGAAAGCAGCATTATCGTTGTGGTCGGTGATGTCTACATTCTCGAGGTCAACAAACGAGTCTTCGTTGACTAGAAACCCCATATCGAGCCAATCCTCTGGGTTCAGAGAGGCGCCGTCAACGGCCCGTGACCAGTCGGTCATGAAACTGTCTGGAATCTCGTAAGAAGTGTGATCTTGCTTTCTTTGTGTATCGTTGCCTGTCTGTCCATCTAGTCCGGAGATCAGCATTCGAGAGAAAACAGAGTAGAGGCTGGCGATAGATGTAGCTGGGAGCGCCTGCGCTTTCTCTTCAAGCCATATCGAGATGGCCCGCATCTGGGACGCCGCCGCTCCGTGATCAACAGAAGATAAGTTTCCTCGCCTCAAAGCCTAAAAGTACAAGTCAGTGCTCGAAAAATGTGTCTAATGTTAGAAGGCCACTTACTTGGACAATTTCCGTCATGGCGTGGGCAACCATTACAAACTGGTTGTTGTGCCATCCCAACCCAATGTCAATGACCGTCTGATCATGCAAAACCAGATCTAGAAGTTGACGTGCGGTTTCAAACGCCTTGCTATCAACTGCGGCAATAATTGAGGCTGTTGCTCTCCCGAGTCTCTTTAACTCCCTTGCAGCCTGTGCGTTGAGAATCATGAGACTGTGTTTTATGTAGAAAGCGAGGATAGGCAACGTCGGTGTAGACGACCCGTCATTTTCATAGCACCTGATCTTGTACGTTCGATCGAGAACATCGTAGCTTGCAGCGTGCCAAGTCGAAATGGACACAGCAGTCTTCTTCACCCGCTCCAACTGCTTTATGGACTCGAGCTGTTCATCTCAATTATCAGCGTTGTAATCTGATGTGTTGACACAGACACTGGTTTAAAGCGAGAGAAACAGGAGAGATGGCAATAAAAAGAGGTCTTCACTCACCAGCTGAACCCTAATCTCAATTATACCGCTAACCATACGATCAAGAGGTGTTGTCATCGAATTCCTCCACCACTGACATGGACAAGGCGGGAGCTCTTTCCAAGCCACAATCGGGGAGCGGCCCATGACGATACCGAAGCTCTTGTCGGCTATGAACACATATAGCCAGGTCCTTTTAAGATTGCGTGAGATCCGCTCTTTCATCTCGATAGTATTGTCGGGAGCCAAAGCTTTGACAAGCTCAGCGATTGTGGTCGACTTGTTGATTCCGAGTTCTTTTGCAAGTTGTACAGCCTGTGGAAAAAGAATTATAGAGTTAGCGCATAATAATCTCCTTGAATTCTTTCTCTTGTAATCTTACATGACTAATGTGAAGCCAATGGGGATCGTCTCCCTGTCTCTGGTACATTGGTGCCCAGTACTTCATTGCGAGGATTGCTTGGATCGTCTCTAGTGACCTCACTGGCACCGCGATAGACCAAGCCAGATTCGCTTCAGCCAGGGAGAGTAGAGTTGGGTACAAGATCCGATCCCGCGGACGTGTCGAAATGGCGCATCCCAGAGCGCAAACGACGGAAAACAGGGTGAAGGATGCATGACGGACGTATTTGGGGGTATGTAGATCTGGGTCCAGGAGCCCTAGATGCGGGTTGCGCGTCTGGAAGAACCTAGATGCAAGGTTTTTCGGTAAGTAGATCATCAATACGGGTCCTTAAATACGAACAGCTGAAAGTACAATGACACATCATCTTGATCCGCCAGGCGAGCAGTCACAGGGTCACAAGCGGTGGTCTCCAACTTCAGTGTGCTGTTGATCGACTGAGACGCCAGGACTTGCCAGTCCGTATCATTCATTAGACGAGGTGCTAGATCACAATGAGTCAATATCTAACATATCATAAGAACAAAACGTTCGAGCTGGTGTCGGCTTACTGAAGTACTCTATCAGTCGTTTGTTCATCGAGCTCGCGTTGCCGCGTCGCCCGACTGCATCGATTGACAGATGTGGCAAGGCCGTCTCGGCATTCTGGTTTGCGAAATTCGTATCTTTTGTCGTAAAAGCAGCTGCCATTATGTGCAGGGGAGACACAACGGAGCTCTCCTTTTTCAGCTTTGAACACGGACACGGGGAATGAGTCGAGTCCGGCGGCCCATCATATTCTGACTCTTCACTTTGCTCGAAAAGAGCAGCAACAGCAGTGTCCTCTGCCTCTGACGCATCCGAATGAGCTGGCACACTGTCTCTTAAATTTGAGAAAGATTCTAGAGCTGAAAAGTTAGGACGTGACTGAGCTTGAGATGAGTTAATGATGGCTGCGATGACTTGGTCCCGGACAGGACTTTCGTTAATGCGGTCCAACAGCTTTTGAACGGTGTCTGGCTTGCTGACTTTCCGTCAGCCTCTTCAAGAGACCTTTGGATGGATACCTAAAGGTCTTTTTTACTTTGTGCTTCCTTCCTTCCTGCCTCGGTTGGATTTCAGCGGGTAGCGACAAGTGTGCCCCTGAATAGTGCATCGTGAGCTGCAGGCGACGTTAGTGATGGATTACTTCGCTCAGGGGCTTGGGTTTGGGCATGTAGAGAGGGCTCACCAAGGAGTCTGTCGATCGCACTTCTGTCTAGCTGCGCGGCAAGTAAAACAAGCAGTGCGATGCTGGCTAGTGCTTTCTGGAACTGGTGCATTCCTGTTCCTCCGTTGAGTTGCACACGTCCCCTTGTATGAACGATCCCGAAGTTCATCTCGGTGATCCTGTCCAGGTTCGTCCATTTTCATCAAACCTTCGGGCGTAATCTATCCCGGTGGCATGTAGCTTAACGATCCCAATATTTTCGCAAGACCCTGGGATTCGTAAAGTTGTCTGGATGGAAGAAAATGAGTTTGTAAGTTCCCTCGGGCTTTAGATTTAGTCCCCGCTCCTGCTCTGACGTCGTAAACCCTAACTTGTGACTCAGCAGCAACTGGTGATAAAACGTTGGCGACGCCATTGGCTCTGCAATTTACGAGACGAATGGAGTTGCTTCCTACCCAACAAGCATTTTGAGTCGCTGAGCGAGATCGGGCTGCCCCTCTGGTGTGCTTGGATACATATACGATCCGCCAGCATCACACGCAGTCCCTCATACCGCATGAGCCGAAGCACAATCAAAAGCACATGGCAGGATTCGTCTTACATCAAGTCATTTCACAGGAGGATTGAAACATCTCAAGTGCTTCATTCAAAGATTCTCGGCTACATGCGTAGGCACTTACATTAGACAACTCACCTGCGTACTTACCTACTAGTAGCCAGTCGGGCATCCTTTGCCCTAAATAAGCCCTGGCTCTGTCTCCTCGACATGCTCACCCGGCGGCAAGCCAATCTCAACCCAACAACCGGCCTGGCATCCGTGACACTCGGGGTCCCTTTCACCAGCATGCTCTGCGCAATACATGGGTCCACGTGGCCGGCGCGGCGGCGCTCTCTGGCGGATCTCCGGCCCCGAGAGTGGGGCTGAGTTCAACGATTCCGGATGACTGGGGCCGGCGATGTTCTTACCCTTGCCATTCTCCGTTCCCGGGGCCTCATTCTCAGAGGACCGATTTTCCTGTGAGAGTTTAGTTACTTTCATCAGCATGATAGGGCTGGGGCGAGGTTTAGAACGTTTTATTACCTCGATTGGTGCATTGAGGCCGGCAATTGTAAAGGGAGAAAGTGGGGGAATGTCTGGCAATCTCACGTCGCTGGCTGAAAAACAGTTTGCCGGATCGTTCGAGTCCTCTTCTTCAATGTCGTCTATCTCGCCGTGGTATGAGTGCAGGTTGGTGCCATACTCCGGCTTCACTATCGTGGCCTGGCGTAATTCCAGTACATCTCGAATTTCATTGGTACCGCCTGTCAGAGCTTCATAAGCAGATTCGTCATAGTCAAGAGGGTGTAGCGAAGCGTCATCCTCGCCGTGTTCATCAGTGTCAATCAACGGGCAATGAACACCACTAAAGCTGGGAAAGGCACTCGCGATGTCTGCCGAAGAAGACGGTGAACGAGGTAGATGATCCGAGATAACCGAGCTAGAAGAAGCGGTGACACCAGTAGTATCACTAGAGGCTGCGATTTCTTTTCTGAACTCCTCTTCTGCTCTTATCTCAAGCTCTGCTTGTTCCCTGAGCCTTTGGATATCCTTCTGGTGGTTCGCTGCGAGCTCAGCAAACAGTTTTTGCCGTTCCTGGAATTCAATCTCGCGGCGCTCGTGGATGTTCAGGCGACGCGATGGGGAGCTCTGAGCAGGGAGCGCTGGTGAGATAAAAGCGACTGGCCGTGGTGTCTGAGCCGTTCCGGAAGACAAGGCCGACTCGTTTCCATAATCACCTCGGTTCACGTCTTCCGCATTGCTGGTATGGCTCAACTGATGAGAGAATTCATACGTCTTGAAGATGTCTCCGGAATTAGCGAGACGTGAGGCCCAACTAACAGTCGCCCTCTGTCCACCGACCGCCATCCGACAGGTATCTGTACGATGTTTTCTTCGACACAGATCGCAAGAGGGGTGTGTGATGGGCTCGCCAAGAGCATGGACGAGTGACTGCACGGAAGCAGCCATCACCATGTCTTTGCCGAGTTCCCTTTCATTTCGCGCAAAGGTGTACCATGATGATGGTAGCTCCATGCTCGTTTCTGTAAGCGCCGAGGCAGGGATCATGAGGGGATCGACGGGGCAATGCCATTTCTTTACGGCCTTGAACTTCCAGTAGTTTTCGAGGAGTTCTGAAGCGTTGACGGAGGAAACGTCACTGTCTCTATAGAACGCCTCACAGTTTTGGCAGAAGCCGATGACGGTGGCCAGGGCCTGGGTGTGCTGGCAGAGAGGTACGGTGCAAGCATTGCGGTAAGTCTTGTCCTTGTTCCCGATAAACTTTCTGCACTCGATCAGCTCTACTGCGGAATGGGCACATACTGTATGGATAGTCTTCTGTGTGAAGCACATGTTGTTGAAATGCTGATAATTTCGGAAGGGACCTGCCTTGAAGTTGGTTTGTAGCGAACTTCGTCGTCTTAGTTTTCGTTGAAGGCACTGTCAGATCGGACGTGGCGGGTCAGAGGCCGCGTAGAAATACAGTATCGGCAATGCTGCCAAGGCATCTCTTGCAAGATGAGAATCATCATATGTTCGTAGTCAGGCAGCGTCGGTGCCCCATCTCAGAGCATTGATGGTGGAAGGCCGGCTTTGTGACACTTAGACAGTGCCATTGTTCTACGAGAAACAGCAGAGCCACTACAAAGGGTAATATCGAAGACCATAGGTACCTAGCATTGTAGCCCCCGCCTTAGTTAGACAATGTCTTCAAGTGCTTGTTTGATAGCTTTGTTCCGAGTAGGCGAGGTATCCGTGATTATCCTTTTCCGAATTTACAAGCTTCACAGCAGGCAGGCACCTCTTGCGCCTCGTATACTGATACATTCCAACGTCACTTGAGGCCGGCCGACAGCAAGCTGGTCGAAAGTCTCGCTTTGTCTTCAAGTAGCATCTCAAGCATCAAGGTCGAAAGAAACGGAATTGTGTAGAAATACAGAGCCCATATGTTGTAATCGTTAACGTCGTGATTTCGTAGTATTACTAGGTAGGTACAACTCTCAAAGTCCCATTCCAGGGTCTTCTTCCAAGTGTGTTGTGCTGAGTGCCGCCACTCCTCAAGTCCAGGCTGTCTAACCGCCGTTTTCAGGTCGCCTTATTCGTGAACTCAAGCGCAGCGCAGCTCTCATCTTCCATGAGATGCCTGACTGACGGATACAATAATTTACAGACCGTACTTCTTGTCCTTGTCCTCGATGGGGATATCCTTGCCAGTGGTGTTCTTGTACTGGCCGCGGATGAAATCGCTGATCTGCTCGTCTTTGGCCTGCTCAGCGGCGCTCTCGTTGTCTTGAGGACCTTGGCCGAGGAATTTTTCTTGGACGAAGTCGACAGCTATGGGTGGTGTTAGTCTTGCGATCATGTGTTACAGAGGATAGTTACGCACCCTTGTCAAGGCCGTCTTCCTGCTTCTCGCTCTCCCGGCCACCGCCAGCCATTCCGTTGAGCTTGTCCATGAAGCCGCCAGACTCCTTCTTCTCGGGTTGGTCAGCGGAAGAGGCTGCGTTGTTGTTATTGTTGTTGCCTCCAGCAAGGTTCTTGACGAAATCCATGATGAAAGATGTGTTGTGTTGACTTGTTGGGATAGATGTAGTAGTGGTCAGAAGTGTGTATCAGGATGATCGATCTTGGAGGCTTGGTTCAAGTTGGAGAAATAAAGACAGGTCAGGTTGGGATTGTGAATGGGATAGCTTGGCTACTTGTAGTTCAACTAAGGTCGCACGAGGAAGAGAGGCAGGGAACCGTCACCAGGGCGGGGAGGAGAGGAGAGGGGAGACCATCGGGAGACGATAGTGGCTTAGACCAAAGGTAACAGAGTGGTACCTTACCACCTATCTTAGCTGCATCCAGCAGGCGGGCACCATCATTTTGCCTGTCCTACCTGGTCTTGGCAAAGGCTAGTCGAGGTGCGGCAAGGAGGCATAAGATTGGGAGTCGCGATACAGCTCGCAGTTTCCCACAGGTCGGTGGAGTTACATCATCAGCTGGCCAGGGGTGCACTGACGCGGGCCAAGTTTCTGCCAGCACGTCTTGCACGTTGCGCCATATAGAGAGGCCTCAGACAGACGATGACGAGGGTACAAGTAGCGACACTCGACCTCATTGTGCAACAAGGTCACAGAGGAGAAACAAGATAAGCCTGTAAGCCCAGGTAAGACAGTCCAAACAATGCAGCACCATGGCGCTTCTGCGGTTTGCCAAGAAATCCAAACAAGCACTTCAGCCAAGGAGTGTTGGCACACTGGTGGCTCATGGAGCTAATCCACGCTTGGTGACGTGATGGTCGCCAACCTAGGTACGGATACTGTCACTTCAGCTGGCTTCGTCCATGCCCCCCTGTTCAACCCCGCCAAGCTTGTCCAGATGTACCTTACTGCGGTATTCGTTACTTTCTCTGCTGTATCACGTGGCTGCCAACCTCTATTCAAACCCCACCGGACCTGTCAAGCCACATATCGCGGGGTTTTGTGGCGGCCACCCGTCTTGAACCTCTGTGGCTTGTGTCTGACCATGTTCACCGGCTGAGTCATCTCCGAAAGCGAGCTCTTCGTCATCAATTGAATGCTGATTGATGCCCCACCATCCCGAGCTTTAAGTCATTGCGACGGCGCAAAACGAGGACCAACAGTATCCCATCAATCCGTCATTCGACAATTCACATCTGAAATCGCCACGAGGGCTTCTCTCTGAGTTCAAAATGGCTGCAAGAAATGCACCAGATCTTCTCAAGCGACCTCTCTACGGTTCGTATTCCCTGCGACTGCTACCCCGCCATCGTCAACTAACCCAGTCGTAGTCTATGATCTTCCCCAAGAAGTCCTGACAACACTCTCCCTAAAGCCCGAAGCCTCCATACCCGAACAAGCCCCTCCGTCGCCTCCCTCGAAAGACACAGCCTCCTCCGATCTTGTCGGGTCACAGGCTTGCTCACTATGCGGAGTCACTTTCCCCACCGTCATCGATCAACGGAGCCATCAGAAATCCGATTGGCACCACTACAACTTGAAGCAGAAGCTGCGCAGCGCAAAGCCGGTATCCGAGAATGAGTTTGAAAAGTTGATCGGGGACCTTGACGAGAGTCTATCGGGATCAGACTCGGAAGAGTCCGAGGATGAGGAGGTCGACCTGGGTCGCAAGGAATCCACACTCACGGCATTGTTAAAGAAGCAGGCGACGCTCACCGACAAGTACGCATCGCCAACCGCAGATTATAATGACGGAGAAGAAGACACCATACGACGCAGAGGCAAGGGCAATCCGCCTCTGATTTGGTTCAGCTCACCAGTTCTCCCATCGAACACATACTTTGGCCTCTACAGGGCTATCCTCAGCCCTGAAGAGCTGCGCGACGAGACAAAGCTGGTGGAAATCGTTAGAAAGAAGCAGTTGGACCCAATAGCCGCACCCAAAGTCTCGAAAGATGGTGCAGCACCACCACCAGCGGCATACAAAGGTCCTCACTTCTTCTTGTGCATGATTGGCGGTGGCCATTTCGCCGCCATGGTCGTAGCATTGCCGCCACGACAGAACAAGTCTTCCGCAGGCGCAATGAATCGCGAAGCTACTGTACTTTCCCACAAAACATTCCATCGATACACGACTAGACGAAAGCAGGGTGGTTCGCAATCAGCCAACGACAACTCCAAGGGAAATGCCCACTCGGCCGGTGCCAGTATCCGTCGGTACAACGAACAAGCTTTGGTGGATGATGTACGCAATCTTCTCCAGGAGTGGAAGGGACTGCTTGATACATCTGAGCTTCTCTTTATTCGAGCAACGGGGGCAACGAATCGAAGAACACTATTCGGACCGTACGATGGACAAATTTTGAAACATAACGATGCGAGGATACGAGGGTTCCCGTTCAGTACACGAAGGGCGACACAGAACGAGTTGATGAGATCTTTTATTGAGCTCACAAGACTCAAGGTCAGGGAAATCAACCCGGAGGACGAGATTAAACCGAAATCAGACGCCCCTACTCCTGCAAAGACTGCCGCCCCGAAGCTCACGAAGCCGAAGCTTACAGAAGAAGAGGAGACTGCATTATTACACACATCGCAGATTCAGGCGTTCATCCGGCGCTCGAAACTTCCAGCTCTACTATCCTACCTCAAGACAAATGATGTGTCTCCCGACTTCCAATTTCAGCCGGCAGATCAGAACCACCACTCACCAACACCCCTCCACTTGGCTGCTCATCAGAATGCTGCGCCTCTAGTTCTCGGCCTCATTACGCGCGGCGGTGCATCTCCTCTGGTCACCAACAAAGACGGCAAGACTGCGTTTGAACTCGCAGGAGACAGGTCAACAAGAGACGCTTTCCGGGTCGCGAGATCAGAGCTTGGCGAGGACAAGTGGGATTGGGAGACCGCACGCATACCAGCACCTCTTAGCAAGACGGATGCCGAGAAGCGTGACGAGAGAGATAGAAAGGAGAAGGATGAACAGGAGACGGCAAGACGGCGTGCCGAGGAAGAGAGGTTACGGGTCGAAGGACCCAAAGTTGATGGCAGGAAGCCAAAGTCTGGCGGTCTGGCGGCTATAGCTGCTACTAAGACGGCACAAGAGAAGAGGGTGGAGGAAGCTAGGGGCCTCACGCCGGAGATGCGAATGAAACTCGACCGAGAGCGGAGAGCTAGGGCAGCCGAAGAGCGCCTCAAGCGCATGCAGAATAATTCATAGTCGTGATGGTCGTTGAGTGCGCTCTCAACGATCTGTAGCTCATATAGAAGAGTCTGAGCGATTTGTACATGTCGGGATGGCTCCTGAATTGACAAAATAATGACATATCTGATCCAATTGTTTCTCTCTGACATTACATGATGGTTGTAGAACAAATACGATTGAAAGTTTCCGTCTGGCCATTGGAGTGTAGTGATTCCACACGTTTCTCGGTTGCAGTGTTCTCGATAGTAGACTGACATCAAGACTGGCGATTTGTGGAAACCAGTAATCTTGTTTCGAGAGAACCAAACTCTTCGAGTTGGTGTAATTCTTTCAACGTCCATTCTCATGGTGTATCTCCATATTTTGCGCCGGTACCTGTGAAGAGAGAAACCCTGACTTTGCCCCGAGAAATGAACATCATGATCTTGCTAGTATGTCTCACGGCAGCCCGAGATTCGAAAGCGGCGGCATATAGCTGGGTGTTATTCAGTCTTTCGGTGTAGAGGTTTCCACGTCATGTCTCGTTGATCATGAAGCAGAATGATGATATTGGAAGATGAAAATATGGCCAGCCAAGACATTGATATCTAGGGACACCTGAACCGATGATGGGCTCACGGTGTCTAGGAGTTCTCTCATCTCGAGCTTGGTCACTCTGTCTGCTGCGACTTTGGTTTTACAGTCCTTTAAAGGAGTGTCCTGGTCCTCTGTTGGGCAAGTCAATGATCGTCAGGCAGGTTTCAATCCAGCGTCTTTGTCTATACGTGGCGGGGCCCGAGAATGAGACCTTCTGGAGGTGCACGATCAAACATCGTTGGTTTATGACAGGAGCTCTGCAAGACTAGATGGAATTTACATTCTCTTTATAACCTTGGGTTTTTTATTATTAATGTAAGCTTCAATATCTTTAAACATACTACGTTGCCAAATGGAACACATCTATCGTTTGTGATCATACGCAAGCTTACAACTGTTTAACTTACTATAAATCACGATTTCTTTTTGAGAAGATATGTTGTCGTGTCAGTCAGATACAACACGGCTTGGAACCCAACTCTTGACGACCAACATCACCACCACTAGCCCCGGAAACATCCGTCAACATATTGTATCAAGCATGACCGTAAGCCAAGCAACACGGCCATCGTCGGCCATTGAGAATCGTAGCCAGAGCCAAACGAATTTATAAATATCCTAAGGGTAAACAATCATCAATCAATCAATGTGAGGCAAGTGATATCAAGATCTCGACCGAGCCGAGGCGTTTCCACCGCCGCCATCATCGACATCCAGAAACAAACCTAGACAGGTTCGCCGTTTAGGGAAACAAGTGTGCATTTTCTTCTAAGCTGTAAATGTTTCCACAGAAGGGCCTTGCTCTTACTCCAATCTACGGGCATGAATGACGGCGACGGCACACCATAGGCCTTGAACCTCAATATCCCACACGAAGAGTCAGATGCAATCAAGAAACACTCTTAAGAGTAGCCTGCATCGTTTTCGTCCACGAGTATTCTGTGAGTATCCATGCCATACTACCTCGTATCTTGAAGCCTCTACCGTGAAAACCCATGTTTCACTTGACGCCAAACAACGCGAGACAAGTTTTCGATTGGCAAAGCCACCATCCGGAACTATACGATAACTCGCCCGTATTCCCCAACACGCCATGTCCGTACCAAACAGATCCAATCCTCTCTCTCAAACGGGGTTTCACGACACCCAACACCTAATTCTCGGCCGACACGATCCCAAATCGTCCAAAGGTGCATACCAATTCGTCCTATTCTCCGTCAACTAGGTAGGGCAAACCCTTCAAGCAATGTCTCTCACCACCCGAAACACATCTTATCCCACAAGCAGACTTCATCGCGAGAGACTGATCACCCGGGACGAAAAAAAAAAACACCTGAAAAAAACACCACGCAACTCTCACCTCGTATCCTCTCCAAACCCACCTCTTCGAGTCTCTCGACCGCTTATACGACCATTGTCTTACACACCGAACCACAACGCCTCTCCACAAAATGTCAACGTCAATGCATCAAAGACAGGCATACCCACAGGCTACAACCGACCGCAGAAGTTTTACTTTTTTTTTTTCTCTCAACGTACGAGGTCGTAAAACCTCTCGTTGCTTATTCCTCTGAAACATTTTCTACCAAGGGCCACCACTGCTTCACTGTCCACCCACATCAACGATCCCGATCTTGCCGTGAAATCGTACTTCAGCCTCCCCCCAAAAGGTGTTCCCAAAAGGTACCCTGAAAACGGTCGGGTACCTGCATTAGATCCTAAATGAGACAAAAGGTGACTTCAAATTTGGATGGGAACGTTGTAGAGGCATGTGATGAATGCAACGGCAACGCAGCGAGACCCGACTCACCGAATCTACAACCGTCCTTCTCCCCCGCGGCCTCCGTAGCTTGACATTCTGACATTCAGGCTCATGCAACGGTTCCCGCACGTCAAAGTAAAGCCGAGAAACAAGCTCCCCTCGACCGATAACTCGCCGACGTATCACAGACTCGCCCTACAAGCATGAATGATACCGAATGCCATCTTGCCATCAACTCCCATCCAACCCACCACAAACACAGCCCTTTCCCCCTTCTCCAGGAGTCGAGTCTGCTACACGGGACAGCGATGGGCATCTCGAAAAGCCGGCAGCACGGGGTATCCGTACCCGCCTTCATTACGGCAGATCGCCATAGTCGAGTTGGCGATCACACTTGGCCAAACTAGCAAGAGCAAAATAAACAGCGTTCCGTTTCACAGCCACCTCCTCGAGCCCCGCGAGGGTAGTGTGTCCATATTCGTAGAGTACTATAGACAGAACCTAGAGGCTAGAAAGGAAGGAAAAAAAACTAGATTGATGCCCCTGTCTGCCGAAGCGAAGCCGCGAGCGAGCCAGAGAGAGAGAGCTGGCCAGCAGGAGGAGGGATACCGCGACCAACGCCATCGAGCCTCGTGTCATGAAACCGAACCATCCCCGCCCCCACTGGCCGGCTCTTCCATCGCTACCACAATTCGCTCAGTCTCTCTGCCAAACCCATGATATCCATCTCGATATCCGTATATCTCCCCACAACGGGAGGGAGGGGACAACCAGGCAGATAGAGGGGGAGTCAACGAAAAGACCCGTCATTCAACCAACATTTCACCGTCCGCATCGCGTTTGTGCGGAACTGCCGGGGAATTTCTCTCTCTCTCGACGAACCAGCTTCACAGCCACCCTATACGTCACGGCAAGGCTCGCATAAAGAACGCGATGCTGAGTTCGGATTGTACATTATGCATGTTTGGCGGGGTATGACATCGAAACAATTAGGGATCGGAGGCCTAGGAGATTTTTTTCTTTGCCCCTTTGCAAGAGTTCGGATGAAGTGGTCAAGAGCTTAACATCAGCTGAATGGGATGAATGGGATACCCCCGACTGCCACGACTGCCACTGGCAAAGAGGACGGTGTTAAACGCGGCTATTGAGCAGGATCTTGACTCGCGAAAGATCAAGACGATATACTTCGCGGGAGTTACGCTGACCTTGCCTCCCGTTTACATCGTAGGGTGATGTTGAAATATCGAATGGCTTGGCACCGAAGAACCGATCAAGTGTCTAATGGGAGGAATCCAATCGGTATTTTAACACTCGATTCTTTCAAAACTTGGGGTTCGCACGAACAAAGGCCCAAAACTTGCTGCTGCTAACTGAGAACCAGTGACTGAGTGTGAGCCGCGCTGGCACGAACAGGAGGTTCTCGGGGATTTGACAACCCTGCTGCAGGGGTCGGGCCATCGAGTACCTCTTTGGGATTTCAGCGACGACCCCGGCCATCACCGTCAGGGTTGCACCGTGGAAGACACCCGCTGGAGCATAGCAAACCGGAAGGGGTGGTCCCTGTTACGGACCTGGCCTGTCTTCCGGTAGGTGCCAGGGCAACAAGGGAAGCGAACAGCCGGCCATCCATCGCGGAGTCGCGGTTGTTGCTGGATTTTTGGGGTGGACTGTCCGCCGCGAAAGGGGCGCCGGTCCTTGTGCGAACAAAGGCAAGCCCGGCAACGGAGGTGCATCGGAAGAGCAACGATACTCGAAAGCGAAGACGGCTGGCCCTTGCGTTCAATTGTCTTGTTTGGAAGATCCTCAAAGTGCCGAGGAAACAAAATGCAACCTTGACAAGAGAGGTCGCTGAGAATAGAAGCTCAGGCGGGCCTTGGGAAATGAGAAGAGGTAAGAAACCCAGTGAACCATATGGCTAGAGACAAGACTCCAGGTCACGCCAACGGAACCAGGCGATCTCATGATCGGGACCGAGCCGTGATTGCGTTCTCTCTCACAAACCCCCGTTTTGGATGGTCTGATTTCCTCTTTCGTCCAGGCAGGTATTGAACCAATCTGCGGGATCAATGATCGACGGCGAAGACGGGGCAGATGGTGTGTGTTCTGGGGAAGGCCGCGAAAGCTCCGGTCCACGGATACAGTTGTCGATAATTGATTGGACTTTCAATATTTCATCTCGATAGCGACGACAGCGTTGGCAACGAGATGAACGGCACGGTGTTCATCCTCTTCTCGGATACCGGCCTGGGGAGGAAGATGAAAACTCAATACTAGAGATTTGGTATTGAGTTTTGGAGGTCTCGGACGATTCATGACGGCAGTGCTGGCCGATCTCCAAGCAAAGCCAGCGCTCGTTCCAACGATAGACAGTTGGTCGCAATATCCAGGAACGCCTGTCGGGAGTCACTTTCCACGGAAAGGATGGGTCCTTGATGCCCATAGCGCCGTTGTCTGTGAGGGCGGTCGGAGTTTAGGGGACCACTGCGGTCAGTTATGTCATCCAATCCCCCCCCCCGGTCAGGTTAGGTCAGACCGTCAGGCCCAGGCTCACGGTCCTCGGGCGGTATCGGCTCAAGACAGGCTGCTCGAGCCTCACTATTTTGTCTTGGGCCTACCCGTCAGAAATAAACAGTCATCCGGATTGTGAATACGGATATGGCTGGAAAATTTGACAGCT